TCTGGTTCTTTATTTGCCTGGAAATTAACAAGATTCCTCTTCCTTGTATTTGTGATCACCAGAAGAAAACCCCTTGTTGGAAGTAAAATACAGATCAAAGAAAAATCGTGACAAGGAACCCGACTCTGACAGAGGCGAAAGACAGTACAGCACTCCAAGTACTCCAGACTATAGAAGTGAAAGGCGGCGTGGATCCAAAGTAAGTTGTATTATTGTGGTCATTATAAGCAGAGATGGATTCGCTACATGCATGGCTGGGGTTGGCTGATCTTCCTCATAGTCTTATGGAGTGATATGTAATTTAGTAAAGTCTGTACATTTTTTTGCTTTGAATTTCATTGTTTGTTTTCCAGGATGTCCTGGCTCTTATTGCCTCTTGTTAATTTCCCCCAGGTAAAGCGTTCAGTGAGGATGTGCGGGGAATGTGAGCCTTGCAGGAGGACTGAAGACTGTGCTCAGTGTGATTTCTGCAAGGACATGAAGAAGTTTGGAGGCCCCAACAAAATCAGACAGAAGTGCAGGTTCAGGCAATGTGAAGTGCGAGCCAGGGTAAGTCCCTTTAGCTCCATAATGTGTTAACAGTGCCTCATATAGTGTAATAGTATAGTAATTACACATTAACATGCAAGGGACATCAAAAGTAGAGTGTAAATCAAAAGGTTGTTTTTTTGTTTGTTTGTTTGTCTAAATTCCTATAAATCTTGTGTTCAGAAAATGCTGCGTGTGAAGGATGAGGAATTCTCTCTGAGAGAAAGGAGGGACAATTCCCACCACAGACGGAGGCGGTACTCCGAGGACTACGACAGCGAGGCAGAACTCTACCAGCAGTACAAGACGGCAGGACTGGACGACAGCATGGTAGGAGAACGATTCACATTACACTGTTGCATATTCAATTCAGTTCAACTCCATTGTATTTATATAGTGCCAAATTACAACAATAGTTGCCTGAAGGCGCTTCATACTGTAAGGTAAATATTAAAGAGAAAACTCCAACAGTTAGATAGCCCCATATGAGCGAGCACTTGGCAACAGTGGGAAGGAAAAACTCACTTTTACATGCACTCACTCAATCACTCCTCTTATGCAGGCATGGGCCAGTGAGGACGAAGACGAGGTGCCCTTCAGTCCTGTCATACGTAAGAAAGCTATAAAGGTGAAGCATGTCAAGAGACGAGAAAAGAAGTTTGAGAAGAAAGTAAGGCTGGTTTTCTCATAGAAAATGTTGATATTTTAAGAGCTGCCGCGTGTTAAAATGGTAACATCTGTTTTTGGAAAAAAAAACATTCAGAAGGAGTCACGTCGCCACAAGCAGAAGCAGAAGCACAAAGACCGAAGCAGGCACAGTGAGAGGGGGGATTTGCGAGATAGCGGAGGTCAGCGTCAGTGCCTGGGACCGAACTGTGTGGAGGGAGCAAGACCCAACTCCAAATACTGCTCTGAGGACTGCGGCATGAAGTTGGCCGCCAAGTAAGACTTTCTTTTTGCTTTTGTTGTTTTCTCTCAACTTACTGGAAAGCGTTTGGAATTTTCTTTGACATTTTTACTTCACTTTTTTTTTAAGTTTTAAAATCTTTGTTCTTGTCAGCCGGATCTATGAGATCCTCCCTCAGCGCATCCAGCAGTGGCAGCAGAGCCCCTGCATTGCCGAGGAACACGGTAAGAAGCAGCTGGAGCGGATACGCCGGGACCAGCAGAACGCCCGGCTCCGCCTCACCGAGATGGAGCGACGCTTCCACGAACTGGAGGGCATCATCGCCAAAGCGAAGCAGCAGGCGGTTCAGCAGGACGAGGAGGTGAGCGCACGTCTCAGGCATTGATTGTTAATTTGAAACTGGAGATGAAGAACAGGGAACACCTAGATTTGGTTTGGTTCCTGTTTGCAGGTAAATGAAGGCGACAGCGAGGACACAGATCTGCAGATCTTCTGCGTGTCTTGCAGTCACCCGATCAATCCAAAAGTGGCACTCAGACATATGGAGAGATGCTATGCAAAGGTGATCATTTCTTTCATTTCTCTTGATACTGCTGCAAGCTCATTCTTTTCCTAAACACTTATTTTTCTGATTATTTAACAGTATGAGAGCCAGACCTCCTTCGGGTCAATGTACCCTACAAGGATAGAAGGGTTAGTGAAGTTCATTGCTGCCTTTAAGTTTTTTGAATGTTTCTGTAGTTGGATGATTTACTAAGATGATGTTTTTCTTGCAGTGCAACCAGGCTCTTCTGTGACGTGTACAATCCACAAAGCAAGACATATTGCAAGAGGCTTCAGGTTTTGTGTCCAGAGCATTCCAGAGATCCAAAGGTCAGAAAAACAGCTTTCTTGGTGTAAAAGCAAAGAAGTGGCAGCGGGAAGCCACTAAGCATAAAGTGAAGTCAATGTGGAGACTTTAATATGTCTTTCTTTTGATCGGTCCACAGGTGCCTGTGGATGAGGTGTGTGGGTGCCCTCTAGTGAAGAATGTGTTTGAGCCGACAGGAGAATATTGCAGAGTCTCCAAAAGAAAGTGCAACAAACATTACAACTGGGAAAAGCTCAGGAGAGCCGAGGTGGACTTGGAGCGTGTCAGGGTGGTGAGTTCAACTTCACGATTGATGTGGTAGTTAGGAAAGCTTGCACAGTTCAAACAAAGTCGAAGAAAGTGATGTGTCAGATCAGGTGAGATGTTGGGCAGCTTTCTGGGGAATGCAGGTAATGGACCCAAAACGGTCTGGTTACAGCAGATTTGTATCGGCTGAGTAGTAGAAATGGGTGGGGGTGGGGGGGTCGCCTTTACATTCACCTGTGCAAATTAAAGGAGTTAAAGTAGGCAGAGCAGTAAAAAGTGGAAGATCCACAGCTCAATCCCGGGATGAGACGGAAATCTCTTTGTGACTTTGTCATTTTAAATAACTAACACTGGCTCTTCCACACTGGTCTGTTTCTTTTCCTTCCCCCCACACAGTGGTACAAGCTGGACGAGCTCTTTGAACAGGAACGTAATGTCAGGACTGCTATGACCAACAGAGCTGGTCTCCTCGCTCTGATGTTGCACCAAACTATTCAGCACGACCCGTTGACGACCGATCTCCGTAGCAACAAGGATAGGTAGTCAGCTCTGCTACTGTTGGATCTGTGGATCGCTGTACGTTTGGGATGCACCGATTGTGAAATTTATGACATCTTGTTTTTTTTTTTTTTACATTTGATTCCATAATGTGTTTCAGGGAAACAAAGAAATCTTCACAATTTCTATTTCTTTAAATTTTAAACAGAAACATCATCCACCACAATCAGTAAATGTGTCATTTGCCAGGCAGAACAGCTGGAATTAACATGTTGGTGCACCCATACTTTGCATAACATGTGTTTTGAGAAATAATGGATATAAACATTAACAACCAATTTTATGGAGGCTGATTTTCTAACTAGATAATTATTTTAAAAATGTGCGTATGATAATATATATTTTCCTGATAGTAGTAGATGAAGTACTGCTGATTGAAAACTGCTCTTTTTTTCTTTTCTTTTTATGTTTACCCTGAATAAACACCTGAAACCTGTTGTGTATGAGGTGTGTGTGTAAGAGTGTTACTTGTTCCTTCATTTCCATACTTTATGAATGTGACTATCAAGGTTTATAAGAATGATATAATTATATTAATGTAGCTTCACTGAGAATGTTTATGTAGTGTGAAGTAACACATACATACATAAATAAATGGATATAATGAGAGGAAAATAAAAGCTGCAGAAAGACTGCATTGGGAACTGAAACTCAGGGTACTGCAATGCAGATTGTGTCCTTTAAGAAGAGTACTCACACTTAAACACTAATGACTCACCTCAGTTTTTTACATGTGCCAACTTTTTCACACTGGACAAAAACAAGCACCATTTTTGTAATTGTACACATTTTATGTTTTTTACTATTTTTTGTGATTGTGTGTATAGCACAATTCCTTTTACAAAGTTTTTGCATTTAGGTTTTCCTTCTGAAATCCTACTTCAGGCCAGAAGATGTTGAAATCCAATCCAACTTTATTTATAGAGCACTTTAAAAAATACATGATTGACCAAAGTACTTTATAAAAGAACAATGATAAAAGTTAAAAATGAATAAAATTAATAGTAAAGCATGAATAAAACAGACAATAAAATATCCCATAAATAAAGTTAAGGACAGAAAGAAATACAATATTGTCATACAATAATTAACTAATGATTTTTAAGATGTGCTCTTGTAAATTCCCTGAAAACACCGAGATTATGTAGTGCCTCAAAAAGACGTCACAATGTAATCTAATATTTAATATTTTTTTAAAATCTGATTTCAGATCGGTCTCTAACGCAGCACTGTTAAAGGGATAAGACGATGGCTACGAAGATGACACTTTCGGGATGAGAGGCATCCCTCCCTTCCGTCTTTTGTTCAGTTCTCTATTTAATCCCGCCCCCTCCCACCACCCCGCCCGTCCGCGCTTGAACAAGTCGTTGAACTAAGGTACAGTTTAATAACGGTGAACAAATGTTAAAAAGTGGTAGGTAGTATTACAGAATGATGCAGTCTACAGCAGAGCTAGCTTAAACTGCTCTGCGGTGATTTGGCACTGATATGGGGTACATTTTTCACTTAGGTGCTACAAATTGAATTAAAAAAAAAATTAAACCAGTGTTTCTTAAATACGAAGGTATTTTTAGGAGCATTTTAAAAAAAAGTTGTATATAAAAAAACAAATATAAGCATAAAAACTATGTTCACTTAGGAGAAGACGGGGCGGTGCCAGTTAGTTGCTTTTGTCTTGCTGTTGGCAGTGAACACACACACGCGCGTGAAATAATGATGTACTCATTAGCGCGTTTTGTCCCGCACCTTATTTACACACACATACACACAAAGGGGAGACACCACAGAACACCTTCACCACATCCAACGAACAGTTCCGTGCTACCCTCCACAAGCTAGGGGGAGTTGCATCTTGAGTGTTCCGACGTCTTTGGTTGTGTCCAATGCTACCGTTTCCGTAGTGCTAGGTGCAGGGTAGCTATCAACGTTAGCTCTAAGTGAATGGGGGGAGCTACGTGTTGAAATCACTATCCCAAACATCTGAGGAATATTACCTAAAGGTGTGTGTGGGTGCGTGTTTTTTAGAAAACCCAAGTGGCCACAAACCTTTGTAGTCCGGTAGCGATAAACAGCTTCTATAAACATCATTTATTTCAGTTTATCGGATTAGAAATCATCCATGGAGATATGCGATAGCTAACGGAGGCTAACGTTGCTCTCGCTTATACTGCTTTTACTTCATCTAATCTAGCGTTGATGTTACACTACTGTTTAGTGTCTCGCTAATCTCAGTGTCACCAAAATATCCGTGCTGCATGTCAAACAACAACACAACTTGAAACAGTAACAAAACTTAGCAGTTTATGCTAGCTAATGCTAACGTTTTGTTTGCTGGCTAACATTGCTATATTATAGTCCCAGCTAATGAACTGTGAATAGATTTATTTCGAAACTAACTTTACAATTTCTCAGCCATTTAGCTGTGTTAACTGTACATGCTGTATAGATCATTTTTATAATCAGCCTCTATTTTTCTTTTTTCACTACAGGCTTTGCCATGATAAATTGACCAGCTTCCAACCAGCAGCCGCACACATTTAACCTCAGAGGCCAGGACATCAAGAGGCACTGTGGACTTAAACATCTTTAAATGGGATGCAAGACGGACTATAGAGGAAACTTAAATTAAACTTGTGAATCAATGGATGAGGAAACGCTTGAAAGCCCACTCCAGGGCACAGAGACTGTGGAAGAAGATGCAGGACAAAACGCAGAGAAGAACAGCTGTCAAGGAGACACTGTAGAAGAGGATGTAGGACAAAGGTCAGAGAAGAAGAGCAGTGAAATAGATGAGACAAATGAAGCAGCCCCAGAATCCTCAGATGGTGTAAATGCAATAGGAAGCCCCAGCTCTGGTCCCATGAAAGAAAAAGCAACAGAGGAGAAAGAGGAGGCAAAATCTCCTGGTGGTGAGCCTCCTGTTGACTGGTTTGAGCCACTTGAAGATGATGATGATGATGCCGAAAGCAATGATAGAAATGATCCAGAGGAAGAGAGTCTGGCAGGAGAAAGCGAAAGGAGCGAGAGTGTGGGTGGCAGTGAGAGCACCATCAAAAAGATATATCAGTAGGTTGAATAATGTTGTTCTTACTATCCTTTGTGGTCATGTGATGCTGTAGCAATATTTACTTATAAAGTTGCTTTTTCTCCAAAATGCTATAGATCATATAAGCCCCTGCAACACAGAAAGGTCCAGCTGATCAGACTGTCACATTACTGCCTAACAGATGTACAGTACTGTGCAAAATTCTTGAGCCACGCTAATTTTTTAAATATTTTACAGAAAAAAAAATAAATTAGGTGCAGTGAATTTAATGAAATGTGCAAATATCCATACAGTGTTTTAAAACAGAGTTTGTAAAATTCTAACAAGCTTTAAAGTTACAATTTGGTTTGACCGAAAGTGTCAAATTTGGATTCATCACTCCATAAGACTCGAGGTCCACTTATTGTGTAAATTGGCGTCCACCGTTCCCTTCCTTAAGACTGGCGTCTTGACAGCCCACCTATGTGTGTTTGACGAGACTTCAGCGTCACTCAGGTTCTGTTTCAGGTCTTTGCTGAAATTTTTCCTGTTCCTTAAGAACATGATTTTCAGATTCTCTTTATGATTTTTTTTTTAGGCTGAGACATCTTGTGTCTTCTGCTTGTCCAGTTTCCTCAAACTACTAGTAACAAAGTACCAAAAGGTACAATTTGAAACAATTTTTTTGTAATTTTTCTGTTATGTTTAGGCAACACTAGTTCATCTCTTGAGTTAAAAGTAACCTTCAAAAAGCCTGAAGAAGTAACCCTCAGGACCACTTTATAAAGAAATGCCAAGAACGTCTGGTTTCATGAAAGCAAAGTATAAAGAAATTAGAGATGGCTTATGACTTTTGCACAGTACCGTGTATGTTACAAGCTCTTTTGGTGTTACTAGAGTGTGCATGGATTCCTGTGCCCTTAAATAGGTTGCAAACTCTAATTGTTAAAATAACTACCAGAATATACCTGCCATGTTATAGAAAACTCTAACTTGCATTTTATTTTACTTGATTGATTACTTTCCTACTGTGAGGTTCAGAGGATGGACATATCTGTGTCACTGTGTAACTGATTGACGAAGCCAGCAATTTGGGAATAGGTTTAGGTCTTTTGCTGTAATCTGATAATGAGCAGCATTATCTTAAATATTTGTGGACTAAATTTAGATGCTATGCTGGTGAGCAAGCACAGGATCCCCATTTTTACCATTGTTACTACAGGGCGGGCAGTGGGGATGCATGCGTGCAAAGATGCTGCACAAGCTTTATGACCATTTTAAGCATCAAGTGTATTTTCAAATATTCAGAGGAGCTACCGATGAAAACAGAGCTTTAAATGTCTTATTTGAGCTCATTTCAAACTTCAATGCAACTTTGCCTGTATCTGTGAAAAGAACTTTTATTTATTATTATTATTACTCATCATGTTTCTCAGGGTGATGTATTTGCAGTCTCTTTTCCCTCAATGTGATCTAAACATTTCTAAAATGTTTGAGTGTGTGTCTTCTTTTAAATTCAGGCTTCATGCACCGCGCCGTAAACGATCGCACCCTGATGAGGGATGGGTTGAATGCCCTGCACTGGGGGAGGGCTGGAAGCGCAAAGAGGTCGTTCGGCGCTCAGGATCTAGTATTGGCCAAAAGGATGTATATTACTTAAGGTAAATACGGCCTTGTAGGAATAAAGAATCCACCTGTACAGTTGTTGACATATTAATGGTGCTACCTTTTACACTCCTCCTGAAGCGTGCACTGAATATCAAAGGAACATTTTGGTTTTTTTTGTGGTTGTAATTATTTTTTCTCCTTTGCAGTCCTCGTGGTGATCGAGTGAGAAGCAGAGTAGAGCTGATTTCAGTGCTGGAAGGACAGGACTTGTCTAACTTTGAGTACAAGACGGGCAAATTCTACCACGGCGAAACACCGCTCCCAAGAATTCGAAGCAGAAAGGTGTCGCTTGGTGTTTTTCTTTGTATTTTAAGCATGAAAGCACTGAAGATTTGCACTGCATGACTTGGAGTCTGCTATCCTCACCCTCTCATCCTTTAGAGAAAGGTCCGCGAGCGATCCTCCTCAGAGTCCAGCTGGATGGAGAGGGGAGAGGGGGCAGACACTCCTGACTCCCACCACAGACTAACCCCAAGCCTCGGGTCTAAAAACGTCAACTCCAATTATTCAAATGCCCCCTTGAACAGTACAGTGGGATCGCCGAATCAAGGGTCTCACAGTGAGGATCCACCTGCAGAGGATAAAATTAAACTCCCTGGTCCATCATCATCTCAGCCACGTCCGCTCCCTTCCATAAATGGAGAGATCGGGTCAGAGGACAGCATACTGTGAGTCTGTTACTACGTGCAAGATAACACCATCATTACAAGTGTCAGCTTCTCGTGATAACTTGAGGTTGGGGGGGGGTCATCATGTGTGTCTGCAGGATCTGTGCCAGATGTGGCATTTCCTTCACAGGCACGTGGTATGACAAACAAAGAAAGAGGCCCTGCTGTCCCTCCTGTTGGGGTACGTTGGCGCATAAGTGTGTAGAATTATAAGTGAGAGGCAAAACTGCATCAGATATATATCTGGGAAACAGTTGGCTGAAGATGGGGTGAAATATGGATTCTCCTTGTAACATTACCTACATTTTTTTCCCCACTTTCAGCAGCATCAAAGACAAAAGAACACCCAATGATTCGCTTCAGAAAGGTAATGTGCTGCGTCCAGGGACACATTGTAACTAATGCTCAAAGGGTGCATGCTAATATTGAAATGCTCTTAAATTCATTTCATTTTCCTTTAAAATTCTGATAAAAACTGTTGCCATGTGTCTTACAATCCACATTTCTCATGAATGTTATTAAATAAGCAAACTGTCTTTCTCCTTGTGTCCATGCCACATGTAGTGGATTCCTTGTGGTCAGTGCGTGGGATGTCATAACACCGACAATTGTGGGCAGTGTGCCAATTGCAAACATGGGCTGCAGAGCCCAGAATCCCGGAGACGCATATGCCGAAAACGCAAATGTATATGTCCTATTCGCAAGGTAAACAGCTACACACTGATTTTTATTTATTTATATACTTTTAAATTACTTGCAATATTGCTTTCTTATGCATTTGGTATGTTCTTCCAGGGCCCTGGAAGTGGAGGCTTCATGCAGCAGAGGCCTTACAGTGACGTTTCAGAGACATTTGACGACAGCATGAGTTTCCAGGTATAAAGTCTGTATAGTCTGAATTGTTAACACTTTGATTGGCTTTGTTTCCTGTTTCCTTTTCTAAAATGTTCATTTGATTTGACAGGGTGAAGTTACAGATTCACAGGTAACACTTTTCTGATCTTATCAAATGTGTTATTTATAGCATCGTGCTGAACAATCACTTTCCTTACTCGTGCTGATGTTGTCTTCACACAGCACCCCAGTCTCAAAAGCAGTGACACGGAGAACTTCTCAGTCAATGTGGATGTTGATGATGAGGATGAGTTGTCAACTGATGACGATGATGATGTGAGTGTTTTAGGTCTTTTTCTTTTTTTAACGTTTGCATAAAGGCATATACCTTTACCACACACAGACACACGGTAGTGACACATTTCGTTGAAGCTTTTTAAGATCCTGAAAGACTTAGGAGTTAGTAGTACGATTTAAGAGTGTAGTAATGGACTGAAACAGAACATGCCAGCAATGCATCTACAAGGATGCCAGCTGCCGTTAAACACCGAAGAAGAAGAAGCTGTGTCCGGTATTGTAGCTGTGTCCAAATTCAGGCGCCGCATTTGTAGGCCGATTACTGTACAGCGACGCAACAAAGGCTGTCCAAACTCAAAGACTTCTCCAAATGTGGCCGACAAATGCGTCCTTAATTTCCCCAGATTTGAAGGATGGGTCGGGTGTATAATTTCATTTTTGGAGACGAGCTGGCTGGGAGGTCAAGGTTCAACTCCCGGCACATCGTTTTCAAACCCACCGCCGTCTTTCGCTACTCAGGTTAAACATGATATATAAGTCACTTAGATAACTTAAAAATGTTATTGTTTGGCTTTTTTTTAGTATTTTGTTTGTTCCTGAGTAAATCGGTTTGGCTGAGATTAAAGTTATAGTTTTTACACAGCTGAATAAACGTCAAACAGAAAACTGATTAAACACAAGTGTGAGATGGTTGCGAATTTACTCCGGTGTCCTGATATATTTTAGATAGCAAGGAGCAGACGGCCGAGTTTATTAAACTCCACCAAGAAAATCTGCAAATTTCATTAAAAGTTTAATAAACTATCATCTTATCTTTATTTTTGGTTAGCACATACCTTAAACACTTCAAGCTTTAAGCTAATGATAGTTATATAAGTTCAGATGCATGCTGGTGCAATAAGCTGTACGTTTTACGTCCAATGGATGATGATCTGATTAGTCGACTAATCGCAAAAATAATCGGTGACTAGTCGACTATTAAAATAATCATTTATGGCAGCCCTAGTCTGCACAGTGGGAACAGTAACTCAGATGACCACTTGTGACAACCAAGGTATTCAGAAAAGGATCCCACAGCACATCAATCCTTGAAGCCGATGGCCTACAGCAACATAAGACCGCACTGCATGCCTCTCCTCTCAGAACATGAACATGGAACTGAGGCTCCCCAGTGAGTCATGATACCTGCTACAACATTCACACAGTAGGGTCAGAATTTGCCTTAAACAGCATGAAAGCATGGATCCATCCTGCCTTGTATCAACGGTTCAGGTTGGTGGTGGTGTTATAGTGTTATGGGGAATATTTTCAGAGCACACTCTAGGCCTCTTAGTACCAACTGAACACCATTTAAACATCATTGTAAGTGTTGTTGCTGACTGGATAATGTCACAAAGCTCATATCATCTGAAACTGGTTTCTTGAGTGTACTTTACCCAAATGACATCCAGATAGGGCTCCTGTGAGATGTGGTGAGATGCAGCAACTGTGTGACTAGATCATGTCGATGTGGACCAAAATCTCTGAGGAATGTTTCCAGCACCTTGAATTTTTGCAGCATTTCACAACAGCAACTTCGAGTTGAGTTGAGTGAAAGTTCGTTAGTGTTACAGTTCTGTTCATGCTGGTTTTATATGAACTGCAATGTAACAACGTTTCATGTTAAAAAAGGGACACTTCTTAACAATACATGCAACAACTTCCAGCTCATGTGAGGACTCCTCTCAGGCTGTGATGGGTGGGAGAGAGGTGAATACATTTTAGGAATAAAATGTATTCACCTTTATTATCATTATTATTATTATTATTCACAACATGAACCATAAACCAACCATAGTTTCCTTAACTAACTTGTCTCATTCTGCCCCCACTCCTTCCCTCTTGTCCTTGAAGCCTTTTCTTTTTCCCGCCCTCCTTCCTTTGCCTTCAGTTCCATTTCAAAAAAGAGAAAACTTTTGTACTCATTGGCCAAGTTTCCATCCACGTTTAGTACAACTTTTAGCAATATTTCCAGAATGTGTAAATAAATGCAAACATTATTTACAACTGCTATAAAAATATTAGGCTTTAGGT